ACAACAATCAAAGGAAGAGAAACCGGGATCGCTATAATTTGGAATAGATTTTAAAAGGAATCCACGCCAACACAACCATCTTAACTTCTTAGGAAATTTTTGATATCCGCCACTGAGTCTTACATTATTAAGCTGAAGTAGTCTTAAATTGTGCATCTGTGAAAATGCATTAGTTTCAAATTATCTTCATCTGATTTTGAAAATGATTCTATGAAGGCAGGAATAACACGGAGAAAAGGGAATAAGCCTCGGCGATGTCGCTTCAATGAATTGCCTTTGTTAAACATTGTATGTTCTGCAAGAAAATCGTCATCTGATTCTGAAAATGATTCTGTGAAGGCAAGAATAACATAGAGAAAAGAGAATAATCCTCGGCGACATCACTTTAATGAATTGCCTTCATTAAACATTGTATGTTCTGCAAGAAAATCTCCACCTGATTCTAAAAATGATTTTGTGAAGGCAGGAATAACACGGAGAAAAGAGAATAATCCTCGGCGACGTTGCTTCAATGCATTGCCTTTGTTAAACATTGTCTGTTTTGCAAGAAAATCTTCATTCTGGGATTGTGCACGGCTTGCACTCTTGGCTGGCATATCTTCTAGGTTGAGGCTAAGGCCTTCAATTGTTGTTGTTCCCTGATAAAGAAAAATTGGAAAAATAGCCACTACAATGAAGAGAGAGAGAGAGAGAGAGAGAAGCATAATTCTTACAGTTTTATCCCTCAACACATTGAAGGCATCCTTATGACACCACACTCTGCTGCACTTTCCAAGTTCCTTTTGTGATTCCCGGTGACCAATTTCCCTACCCATGTCTCTAAGCACTTGGTGCATTATCAGCTTGTCGTTATCTTTATTAGTTTCTATGAGACCTCTATGAGTGAGATTTTGAATACCAATTGTTATGGAGAAATCACATTCCTCTAGTATTTTAACTATGTAATCTTTGTCCTTTCCAACAAAGAAACAAGCACTATCAAAGAATATATTTTTCTCATGATCATCTAAAGAATCATAACTTATTTTAAGCACATTATGAATTTTCCCGGGAAAATGTGTTCTTAATTTTGCTAATGCACTTTCCCATACATCAATACTTTCGCCAGACAGAGAAGAGCCCAAGACTTCCAGAGCTAGTGGAAGCCCACCACAGTGGTGTATTACCCTTTTTGAGTGCTCCATGTAAGCTTCAATAGGTTTGTCTTGTCCAAAGGCATACCAGCTGAAGAGACAAAGTGCTTTATCATCATTCAATTCCTTAACCACATACTTCATCAGCCTTTAGCAATTGCACATGTCTAGTAATTATCATAATGCATTTACTTTGTCCAAATCATCAACATCATCAAGAACAACTTGAACTCTTTTACAACACATAGCATTTTTAATCTTATTAATAAATGCACAAACAAGACCAAAAACCATCACCTTATCGTGCATGATCAAGGGCAATGGAGACTTAGGAAACTTGACTCATTTCATCACTTTGAGTATGAAATGCCCCAATTTTCCTTGTGTTTAATTAACGTCCGATTGAACACATCAAAACACAATCAAATCTTTGCACAATTTTAGTTTCCATTTTTGTTTACCCATTTTAATTTACCATTCCATTCTTTAACCAATTAAGTCCATTGGTGAGTAAGTCCTCTAAAAGAGAAGGAAGTGTCAAACAAGGGGTAGTTTAGGGCAAGAAAGAGGTGTCATGCCATTGATAATGAACCCTCAAAAGAGGATTAAACCATTAAGCATGGACCTCAATCTCAAGCTTAAACTATCCTAAGGTTGAAACAACCCTCAAAGCAAATAAAAAAAGTCAAGAAATGAGTGAGGTTGTAAAGATTAATGAGTACTGAAATTAAGTGAGAAAAACACCAAAATATGCAATCAACTCAAACAAGTTGTGTCTAAAGGCCTAAAACACCTAGCTTGTGAGGACACTTACACTAGAAGCATGCAAAACAAGACTCAAATGACTTAACCAACCCAAAATAGAGTTAAAATAGTCCAAAATAGAGCCTAAAACATGCTGGAATTAAGCTATAAATGGCTAGAAAAATAAGCTAACATATAGAGCTATCTAGGCTAGCAACCAAGGCACAAGGCGGGGAGGCTAACCCCTCCAAATTTAGACCTCAAAACATGATTTTCACCACTGAAAATACTCTAAAATTCAGTGGTCAAAAGCCCAAAAAAAGATGGTTTGAAAGTGGGAAACAAAGGTGGAAAGGCCTTATAAACAAGGAATAAAGAGGGGTGAGCCACCCCCTAACCTTAAATGGCCTAAAACCACCAACTTCAGCCCACCAAAACAGAGTTTTTTATAGCCCAAAAATAGCCCAAAATCAGTGAGAAAAGATAGAGAAACAAGTATACAAAACAAGGTAAAAGGACAAGTGTTATACCTCTTGAAGCAATGATCAATTCTAGGCAATAATTCAAGCCAAAACCAACTTCAAGAGCTCCAAAAAGGCTTCAAGGAACCTCAGTCCAAAGGTGATAAACTTTGATTAAGGAGGTGTAGGCAAAAATGTAGTATATGTAGGCTAATGTGCACAAATTTGCAAGAGCGAGATAATTTTTGCTCCAAAACTTTGAACCCTCAAAAATTGGGGAGAAGACCCCCTATATATAGAAAAACATGCATTTGGCTGAGATACACAAATTTGAAACCAAATTCTTCATGCATGTATGGAATTGTGTTCAAATCTTTTTCAAAACCTTCAAACATGAAATTAAACTCTTGAAAACTTGAAATTCTTTAATGCATGTAAAAATTCAACTCTTAAATTAACAAGAACACTAGAATTCAAGCTCAAAATGCTCAAATGTAATGGAATTATGCATGCATGCTCACAACTAATTCACAATCACTAAATTCATGATGGTGATCCTAGTTTATTCTTTACAAATTCATGCAAATGGTCCTACAACTTATTGAATTCAATTCTACATGGATTATTTCCAAGAATTGTGGGTGAATTCCATACCTAGAGCTTGAATTGTAGTTGAATTAACTAAAGTTCTTCAAATCCCCTTCAAATTCTCTACAATTTCACCACTCTCTCTTTAGAAGTGTTGAACTCTCAACTCCCCCTCTAATTTCAGCCACTTAGTTGGAGAATATGAACTCAATAGGCCTATATCCCATATTTATAGGTTTGATTAAGTTAGGCAAATTAGGTGAGATTAGGCTTAATTAAGTAGGCTTAAGTCTAACTATTCTTAATCAAGTTATTCTAATTATTTTGATAAATGGTTCTAAATATTTCAATTAGCCTATTGAACTAGTCAATTTCGGTTTCTGAATCCATTTTGGGCTTTCAATTTTGAATTTTAAGTCTGCACTCTAACAGATATTTCATAAACAAACAGATAAGCATCAATTAAGCATATAATCATGCAAATATACTCAATGAAATAATATATAAAAATAATATGTATGTCGGGGTCGTCACAACGTCCCTAAGATCTTTTTTCCTCACTACCTTATCATAAAGTCCAAGCCTCAAAAACTCAGCATTGCAAATATTATTGGCAAAAACAGTATTACCTCAAAGAAATAGAGAACTCTCAAACCAATCTACCATTGTAAAATAGTTCATAACTTTCCAAAATCAAATCAAGAAAGGAAGAAGAGTTTGAATTAGCAAATTTTAATTTGAATATTACCCAGCAATAAAAGGGGAAAAGTAAAACAAAATACAGAAAAATCCATTTCTTTCAGCATTTGGTGATAAAATGAGAGAAAACAAGCATTTTAATTTTAATTTGTTTTTTCTACTAATACTGCTTGTTGTTTATCAAATGAAATGGTGAAGGTACTCTTTTAAGTCTCACCTGTATTTTCTAGGCATTCCCATTTCTACTCGCACATCCTTGAGTAGAGTAGCACTCTACTAACATCATCGTCATTACATAAGAAGTACTCGCCTTCTCTCATTTGATATGCTGACAAATCAAGGACATTATGATTAAAAGAATAGCTAGTGTTGTTCTGGGTACCTTTCCCTTCTTCATCATACAGAATTCGAATTCCAAATTCTTTTACCCAAAAAAATTCCGCCATATTCACAGAGATGTTCATTTCATCACCACCTTCCATTAACAGATCCGCTATCTTCCAACCACTTAACCATATCACATCTTTGTGTTCATACGGAATGCCTCTAAATGTTGGCCTATATGCCCATTTCATACCCTTATGGCATGTTTGATTGGGTGGATTAGAGCATGAGATTAGGATTATTAATCCATGGGCCCAATTATCCTATATTTGTTTTAACATTTTGGTTTAGGATTATTAATCCAATGGACAATTAATCCAACAAATTTGTAGGATTATTAGTAATGAGGTAGAGTTAGGATTATTAATCTAATGGATATTAATCCAATTGGATAATGAATACTACATCAATTTAAGGCCATGTTTGATTCACAACACTAATAGTGAGGTATTAATAATCCTATTAAATTAGTGTGGTATTAGTTATCCCACCCCTACCCCATTACTAATAATCCTACAAATTTGTTGGATTAATTATCCATTGGATTAATAATCCTAAACTAAAATGTCAAAACAAACGTAGGATGATTGGGCCCACGGATTAATAATCCCAATCCTATGCTTTAATCCTTCCAATCAAACATGCCATAATAGAATTATTAATACTTCACTATTAATTTTGTGAATCAAACATGACCTTAGTGTTATTACTGACTTTAATATATTTATAAGACCATTCGGCCAGTCTAAAATCCATGGCATATACAATGCATATATTCAGGCCACACAATTTGAGATGTGGAAGTGAAGGAACTATAAAAGAGATTGATGAACCTCTATCTTCATGTCAAACCAACTAGGAATCTCACTCCCGAGAAGAAATATGTTGTATATACCACATTCATATAGTCCCTATGCCATGAAAATTACACTTTTAATAATTAATTAAATATAGATAGCAATTAAGAGAGGGTGGGAAAGAGAGAGAGCACCTAGAGTGTGGGAGCTTTAATAATTGCACCAGTTAGGTTACTGTATAGTTTAAACTCAGCAATTCCCATGAAATCCCACTCGGTTAAGCTCAAATTGTTAATCATTTCCAAATCAATGTTTCCAATTGGTTCTAACTTCAATAATCCCTGAATCTTAACTAGTTTCTCGCAATGACATATGTCCAACATTAGTAGGTTAAATAGGTTTGGCAGATTTGCTACCGTTTCCAAAGACCTGCATCCAGTTAAATTTAATCCTGCTAAACTCATTGGAAGCTCTGGAAGTGATTGAAGCCTAATGCAAGAAATTAAGTCAAGATGAGTTAGCCTAGTAAGACCTTTGAGGCTTCCTGGAAGGCTACAGATTGGATTATAGCCTAGACGCAAGGTTGTAATGAGGACAGGGTACTAAGATCCCCTGGAATACTATCACCAGATATATTGCAATTTGAAAGAGCGTGGTAAGGAAGTCAATGAGAAACAAATGGATTCAGGGCGGCTTCCTAGTTTTGATACCCAAGACCAAATATGTTCATGCCATTGTTTAACTGCTCCACTATTTGAGGACAATTGATTTATTCCATCTGCATGAAGCACTTTCAAAGATTCCATCTTGACCAGGTCAGGAGGCAACTTATCAAGACTTGAGCAGTCGGAGAGAATAAGTTCTTCAAGGGATTTGAGCAGAACAATTTCCCTTGGAAGCTTCGTAAGATTTCTGCAATCTCTTAGATTCAGCAAAACAAGTCTCTCTAATTTCCCAACGGATTCATGAACACCAACCAAATTTATGCAATCTTTAAGTTTCAGTTTCTCAAGATTAGGGAGCAGCAAGAAATCTGGGGAATCGACAAGGCCATGGGAATGACTAAGATTGAGGATCTTCAACAATCTGAGCATCTATCATAAGGTAGGAAATTGGTCTCCATCAATTGGCACATTGATCAAAAAATTTAAACTACAAGAAGAAATTCAACAAAAAAAATTGAATCACACCTTGGTTCCTTTCCAAAGTTGTGCCAAGCTGCTATTGCGCATATCAAGAACAACCAGGCTCTCTAGAGGAAAATCATTAGGTATAAATTTTAAAGGGAATCCATGTCAATGCAGCCATCTTAACTTCTTAGGAAATTTTTCATAGCATCCAATGAGTTGTACACTATAAAGCTGGAGTATTCATAATTTGTGCATCGAAAAAAATGCACCAGTGTTCAAACCAATTTCTTCATTTGATTCTGTTGAGACAGAATATGTGGGAAGCCAAGAGAATAAGCCAAGACGCTGGCGCTTTGATAAATTGTTGTCCACAAAATCATCAAAATGGTGGTGTTGTGTATTATTTACACTCTTGCCTCGCATATCTTCCCGTAGCACACACAAGTCCAGGATGAAACCTTCAATTGTTTATGTTCCCTAATAAGAAAAAGGACCCCATAAATAATCACAAAGTGCCCCAAAAAAAAAATATATTACCAATAGACAAGAGAAGTATAAATCTTACAGTTTTTTCTTTCAATACATTGTAGGCATTCTTATGACGCCATACTCTACTGCATTTTCCAGGCTCCTTAGGAGATTCTTGGCGAATAATCTCCCTCCCCATGTCTCTAAGCAATTGATGCATCATTAGCTTGTTGTGTACTCCATCAATTGTTACAACCTAATAAGAAAAAGGACCCCATAAATAATCACAAAGTGCCCAAAAAAAAAAAAATATTACCAATAGACAAGAGAAGTATAAATCTTACAGTTTTTTCTTTCAATACATTGTAGGCATTCTTATGACGCCATACTCTGCTGCATTTTCCAGGCTCCTTAGAAGATTCTTGGCGAATAATCTCCCTCCCCATGTCTCTAAGCAATTGATGCATCATTAGCTTGTTGTTTACTCCATCAATTGTTACAAGGCATCTACGAATGAGATATTAAATCCCAACAGCTGTGTGGCAATCACATTCATCCAGTACTTTAACTGCAAAATCTTTTTCTTTTTCAACAAAAAAATAAGCAATATCAAGGTACAAGTTTTTGTCATGATCATCTAACTTATTTGAAGTACATTTTGGATTTTCTCATCAAAAAATGATCCCAACTTTGCTAATGCATTTTCCCACAAATAGAGAAGCACCTAAGACTTCAAGAGGTAAAGGAAGCCCCCCACAGTGGTATGTCATCCTCTTGGCCTGCTTGATGTATGCTTCAATAGGATGGTCTTGTCCAAAAGCATGCCAACTGAAAAGACGAAGCGCTTCAACATCATTAAACTCCTTAACCATGGAAACCTCACAAACATCATGAACCTTTAGCAATCGGTCATGCCTAGTTGTAATGATAATTTTTATAGCGATTCTGGTTTCCCCTTCACTGTTTAACAGTACTCCGAACTTAGGTTCCGTGGAGTTGGTGGTTGTATACGTCTTGTTGTCATCCTTTAATTCCTTTACTCTTTGTTTTTGAGTCTTAGGTTGTGTTGGGTAGGTTTGAAACAGGTTGGTTGTGCTTTGAAACCAAAAGTTGATGCCCAGAATTTGGCCTTCACGCTCGAGCGGGGCTTTTGACACTCGTGCGGGCCCTTTGTTGTTGCTTCTCCGCTCAAGCGGAGCGTTTTGACGCTCGAGCGTGAATTTTCATCTCCCAATATTTTTTCTCTTCAGGTCTTCGTACACTCGAGCGGGAGTTTTGACGCTCGAGCATGACCCTTTGATTTTGTTCCTCCGCTCGAACGGGGACCATGGCCTGCAAAACTTCTATGAGTGTGCATCCGACGCTCGAGCGGGCGTTTTGATGCTCGAGCGTGAGTCTGTGTCTGACGCTTGAGCGAGGGTTTCCATGCTCGAGCGGGGCGACTTTTATATCACTTCGAGATTTCACTTTTTGGATCACTTTTCAACATCCTTTCTCTCTCTTACTTTTCAAAAACTACCATTAGAGAGCTTCTCACTCTAAAACTCCAACTGTTCTCTAGGAATTGATCTAGCTTGAGTGATCTACTCCCTTAGTGTCTTTGCAAAGAGTGTAGAGCTTGGCTTGGGCTTCCTATCAATCCGAAAATCTTGGGTTTTGGAGCATTTCGAGATTTCTTCATCTTCTTCCTTTGAGCTCTGAATTTGAGGTAGGGATTCCTACTCATCTTTATGAGCTTTAACCTAAATGTTGAGTTTTTTTGTATAAATGATTTGATTTGGGAAGTTAGGGTTTGTAATGTGTTATATTAGAAAGAGGGGTTTTGTTCTTTGATTCAAGCATATGTGTTTTGGGTCAAAAAGGGGAGGTTATTGATGTTGTTGATAATATTTGGACCTTTGGGTCAATATTGAGAAAAGGGGGAAAATGCCATGTTTGGGTATATTTAGGTCATTAGTATAATTAATGACATTTATCATGGAATTATGAAATTAAGTTGGAAATAACGAAATTGGCATAATACGGGATGGAATGGTGGAGTTGGATTTATTAATCACTCACCTTTGACAAACCAATTTCTTCATTTGATTCTGTTGAGACAGAATATGTGGGAAGCCAAGAGAATAAGCCAAGACGCTGGCGCTTTGATAAATTGTTGTCCACAAAATCATCAAAATGGTGGTGTTGTGTATTATTTACACTCTTGCCTCGCATATCTTCCCGTAGCACACACAAGTCCAGGATGAAACCTTCAATTGTTTATGTTCCCTAATAAGAAAAAGGACCCCATAAATAATCACAAAGTGCCCAAAAAAAAAAAATATTACCAATAGACAAGAGAAGTATAAATCTTACAGTTTTTTCTTTCAATACATTGTAGGCATTCTTATGACGCCATACTCTGCTGCATTTTCCAGGCTCCTTAGGAGATTCTTGGCGAATAATCTCCCTCCCCATGTCTCTAAGCAATTGATGCATCATTAGCTTGTTGTTTACTCCATCAATTGTTACAAGGCATCTACGAATGAGATATTGAATCCCAACAG